GGTTATTTGATTGTGCTTTCTGGAAAACAATTTTTTACATTTAGGCTCCTGCAATCGTCACACTTTTTCTGTTACAAACTGACTCCGGCCCCCACCAGGGAAGGGGAAAGTTATGTGGCCCTCACAGGAAAAGGTTTGGGGACCCCTGCTTTACAAGTATGTCACAGGTTTTGTTTTGGACCTTAATTTTAATAAATGATGATGATTAATTTTCCCTTGAATCATCAACAAAGTGCTTTTAGGAAACTGACTGTTGAGGTTTTCCTCAATAATTTAACAGAAGAAAGAAATCCATCCTTGGTTTTAGGGATTTATCTCTGCAAATATTATGAACATTTACACACATGAATGTTGAATGAAATAAAAGCAACGCTGAATAATGATGAAGCTGGAAAGATGCAGAACTGACTGGCTGACGGGGTTAATCTCATAATCCTCTCACAGCAGCCATGAAGAAGAGACTCTGATCAGAATCCACTGGTCTGATCGCCGGGACGTTGATGGGACGTTTGAATGGAAGTGGGAATGTGGGGATTATGAGATCCACAGCTTTCTGAGCCATCAGTTGTGCTGTCGACAAAGATCTTATTCAAGGTGGATTTGAGGATTCCCAGTTCTATTCCTGTAGAATTGTTGTTTTATCCGTGTGTGAAAAGAAAACTCACAAAACAGCAAAAGTGTTCATACTCCGATAAATGGCTTACTGCACTGGTGTAAAGATTACAGTGGGTGCTTGTTGGGTAAGCTGCACTGTCCCTTTGAGTAAAATGGTGACACTTACACTTAACCAAGCTTCTTTCTATAATTTTTTTTTCACTAGATAGCATCATGTTTATTTTCCTTTAAATTGTGTCCCAGTTGAAAAGAAAACACATTTTTGAGTTTAGCAGTATAGTTGAGTGGAAAACCCAAAAATCGTCTGTCCTAAAACAGCTTTTGGAGGAAGCAACGCAGCGATGGCGGGTGGAATCTCACTAAAGCAGAGAAACACTGAGATGAGAAATTACACAACCCTAAGAGACCAAACGGTTTCCTTCAAGGCGTGAACGTTCGACCGCAAACAGCAGGATTTATACGGGAGAGGATTGGGGACACCAACAAAAAAGAATTTGGAATTTAATCTCAGAATTCTGGCTTTAATCTTCGGGGATCAAATTCTGATCTGAATTCTGAGAGAATTTTGAATTCTGAGAAAAAAATCAAAATTTTGATAAGCCAGAATTCTGATATCAAAATTATGAGTAAAATGTCACAATTCTCAGAAAAAGAGAGAAAATAAGAAATTTTTCAATTATTTTCAGAAATTTTGGGGAAAAAAACATTGAAATTTCTGAGTTTCAAAGTCAAATATTTTCCAGGTAAACAGGAGAAAGCTCAAACTTTAAGTGAAGTATGAAATGACTGCCAGCCTGGTTTGGCAGCGTTGTGTTTTTCTTCTTAATTTCCAGCTATTTTGCTTGAAAAGTTGTTTTTGTCTGAAGTTTAGTGCCCATATGCTTGTCGATGGTAAATTGTCCCCCTGCTTCTCTATCTGTTGAAGTGAGAACAGGCCCTTCAACAGGTTTATGCTCTAACAAAGTGTGGTAGGAAAGTAAAACAGCTTAAATGGCTGAAATTGTTGCTGTCATGCAGGATTTTGGGTCTGACTCACAGGATTTCTGTCTTGCAGGCAGCTCCAGTCCTTTTCCCTCATTTAGTCGTCATTTATTTGCATCCCTTAGGAAACGACTTTTCTCCAGTGCACACTGTTATTTCTTCCTAATCTTTACAGCAAAACCTGAAGTAGGTGGACTAGATTTAGATCTGCCAAAATTTATTTTTTAAAGTAATGGTGCCGGAAAGTTTGAACTGAGCATATCGAGGTTTTTCAAATTCAAACCGGAAGACGACTCCAGTCTGTGATGCACAGATTAGGGTGGGCAGGTTGGACCTGGAGGAAAAATGTTGTTTTGCCAAGTCTCTGCATTTGGTTGATTCGTTGAATGTTAATTATCATGTGGAAGGAGAGTCAGGTTTCCTTTCGCTTGTCAGAGTATAGACTTATTATCACACAGCAAATGGCCCATCAGCCAAAAGCCAAAAAATAATGCTACTCAGCATATGTTGTTGCTTTACTACTGTGTGACATATCGTACCACAGAAAAAGGCAGTGATTTGTAAACATATTGGCATGAAAGGAGGAGAACTAAGGGGGCTTATTATACAAAAATTCCCATTTTGTAGATTTCTGTACTTTTATTTGGGTCTTAACTGTTTCTAAAAACAAACCCAACTGGTTAATGATTTTTGGTGTCTGGAAAAGTAGCTGTTTTAAAAACCTCCATAATGTAACACCCTGTGAAGCCCAGCCCGTTACCTAGCAACCCCTGATATTCCACCCGTTACCTAGCAACCCAAACTCAGTTCCAGCACGTTTGGTCAGCTGGTTTTATCACCGCATTCACTGTACAATGGCTGCTGGAAAAGACAAGTGATTTGTCATACTTACCACACAGGAACAACTTTCTGCCTTATAATTTATATTTATTTCACAGAAACAATGAAACAATGTACATTTACTTTTAACCAAGAGGTGCATGGCACCAGGTTATACAAAAGAAAAGAGCTAATTTTCACCTGCAGGTTCAGGTGATGAAGTATGATTTAACAAATTATGACTTGGTGAAAATCCAGTTCAGTAATTTATTACATAAATAAAGTGTCACTACATCTTTGTGACACTTAAGAAAACCAATCAAACGACAAACTAACTGGCAATTAATAAAGAAAGAAGAATTAGAAGAGTACAACTCTACTAATTAGAATAACATTTTATAACTATAATCTCATTTGGCAAACTATTTCATTGTGGCGGTTTTATCAAAGGCAGTTTTAGCCTTTATTGCTTCAGTCATGTTATCTGATCTCAAAGAGAAACATTTTCTTAGACGTGGAACAGCAATGTCATGAAGAATTTCACAAACTAAGCAAATATTTGCATAAAATGTAAGATTTTCAAAGTTTAAAAAAATTACAATCATTTTTTGTGCAGAAGGTTCTACTTCTGCTTTTCAAAGATCTATGTGTATAATATTGCGCCGTTTGCAAACATGCACACTAAAATCTGCATTTTTTTTGTGTGTGCCAAAAGTGTAATCACCATGTTTTGTAGCTCATTGACCTACAATAACCTATTCAAGGAAGCAAGTTTACAGTAGACTGAGTGAGAGTACAAACCAGGTTTTTGCTTCCTTCATTCAAATTTAACAAGGAATGAGAAAAAAAGAGCTGGTGTAGCTATAGTGGTGCTCTTGGTTTTTCTTTGCAGGAGGCACCGCGTCACGGCAGAAAGGCTTTCTGGGCTGCATCCGCTCTCTGCAGCTGAACGGCGTCACACTGGACCTGGAGGAGAGGGCAAGCATCACACCTGGCGTCCGACCCGGCTGCCCCGGGCACTGCAGCAGCTACGCAGCGCTCTGCCAGAACCAGGGTCGCTGTGTGGAAAGGGCCAGCGGGTTCTCCTGTGACTGCAGCCGCTCTGCCTACACCGGAGTCTTCTGTCACGAAGGTGCAGACACACTGACAACTCTACCAGGAAATTCATAAGAAAAAACCCTGAAGGTTTTAAAAACTTTCTACAGTGAGAATTGGGTTTTTCACACTTTTGTAGATTTATATCCACTAGATATTCCTACATGAAGATTGGCAGGATATTAATTGACAGATCACAAACTGCAGCAAAAGAAAAAAAGCCTGGGGGAAACATGGTCTAATATTGTCAAGAAATTAAAAGAAAATCTCCACTGAGAGTTCAAATTGGGTTGTTGAAGTTTCTAATCCCTACAGCTGCTTTGACAATTTAATTCTCTTGGATATATGAGATCATTTATAATTTCAGCATGTAGTTCAATATAGGTTTGTAAGATTTAAAGTAGGGCAGCACATTTCCTGCTGGCACAAATTATCACAAGGGGGAAGAAAAACTGATTATGCAGATTGGGAACCTTTGATTGTCTCAGAGTTACAGTAGAAACTTCAATAAAACGCAGTTATTAAGATTCCTATGAAAATAACACTCCAAAAAGATTCATATTTAACTTTTTTTTCTACTTCCATTTGCATCTCAACTGCTTCTAAAAACAGCTGAAGTACTTAAAAAAAAACTCAAGCCATTTTTTTAGCAATGAATTTGTTTTTTGGTGTCTGAAAAACAAGTCGCTTCAAAACCCTCCCAATTGTTGAGTCATACTGCACTGTTACCGAGCAACCCCGTTACCGAGCAACCCCGTTACCGAGCAACCCCGGCAGAGTTCCGCCCGTTACCAAGCAACCAAAGCTGTGCTCCAGAATGTTAGGTCAGCTGGTTTTACCGCTGCATGCGCTCTACAATGGCTGCTGGAAAAGACAAGTGTTTTCTTGTTGAATTACCATCCAGAAACAACTTGCTGCATTCTTGTTGGTTGTGCAGGAGGCTCCATTTCTGCTTTTCAAAGTTGTATGGATGTACCATTCTACATCCATTTTCACTTGCGAGTGTAAATGTTGAGTTGGGGCCGTGGCCAACAGCAGCAGCTTATTTCTCATTCTGAAAGAAGCTCAAACAAACTAAGAATCTCATTATCTAAGGATGATTTTGCACAAACATGTTTTGTATAAAACTCAAGAAGATTCCCTGCGTGTTTTTCTTTACTTTGTCACCTTCCATAAGATAAACTTCACACCTGAGAAGTTTCCTCCTCCTGTTGTCTTCATCTTTTGTTATTACGCCGGCTTGTTTTGATTTTCAGAAGCCACTCCGCTCCTCTCATATAGCCGGATATGAGTCTGTGTTTGAACAGCAGCCTATGTTACTGCATTTTATTGCATTTTATCTTGACAGCTCAGTCCGCACATGTTATCCAGAGGCCCTCCAAAATAATATTTGTTGTTTGCCGGTTCATATAGTGGTGACAGGCAGCGACATAAGCCAGCTTCTCAGAGGAATTTGACAGCCACTTTATTCCACTGGAAAGTGACGTCTGGCACACACAGCATTCAGCTGGGTTTTGTTTTACTTCTTTCAAAGTTTTTATACATCAGATGATGAGCTCAGGTACTTCACATGTTTCTATTAACGCATTAACTAATTTTATTAATGATAACTTTATTTTTAATCTTAAAATGTAGTACAGAGAGCGAGAAATATTGTTGCTGCAAGATTTAATCTAAACATGCTGTTACAATTGCAACAGAAACCACAGACAGCTGGTGTTTATTGACTGTATTTCTTATTGGTGTATGACCTTTAAAGGATTTCTACGTCCCATAAATTCAGTAGCATGCCTGCTGTGTGGTTAAAGTAGCATGGGACATTAACATTATGAGTTTACTGTATTATGTTTGGAAATGTTACATTCCCAATAATTCAGTTCATGTTTTTCTGAAGTTCCAGTTCAAATCAATGGCATCTCCAGGCTCCCGTTCCAGTTGCTATAGCTGTCCAAGTCAGAAATTACTCAATAATAGGAATGTTTTTGAAAAGCTTATTTATTACATTAGCTCAATGTAATTAGTGTATCATACAGATCAGAGGAGACCAAACCTTTTCCAGCAGAGGCCACAACTGTTGAGCTAAAATAAGTTGTGGGTCACCAAATATCTATTTTGCTATGGAAAAAAAATTCTATTGTAAAAACAAACTAAATTCACTATGTTTTAATAATTTCTACTAACCTGATGGAAAGAGTCTGAAATTTGTGTTTCTGCTGCTACATTCTGTTAAATGAAAATGAGAGCAAAAAATGTGGTTAATAAAACTTGAATGTTTTGTTCCTAAAGTTTTCTATTTGAACACTATTTTAATTTGTCCACATTATTCTTTTTCCCTTAATTTGCTTTAAATGTATCACCATGAAGAGTCTGGTGAAATATGTCTGTGCTTTTCTTAAACTGTGGACAAGGGCCGGACAGAACCACTCGAACGGCTGTAAATGGCCCCCAGGCTACACTTTGGACATCCCTACCATAGATTAATTACACAAAGATGGTTTCCAAGCCTTTATTTCTGCTAATAATGATTTTTTTTCCTCACAGCTAATAAAAACACAACATTTAAGATTGAAATATTACGACTAATAAAAATAATTCATAAATCTTGATATAATGAATATAATTATAAGATACTTTTAATTTGACAAGCGGGTCTTAACAGAACATGTTATTTGTGCAATTCTAGCTGGTTAAAAGTTGATTAAGCCCAGAATGTTACATAAAGCTGTTGACTTTGAAGCAAATGTCTTTCCTAGCAGCCATTTTACAGCAATAAAACCAGCTGACTAACCGTGCTGGCACTGGTTGCTAGGTAACGGGCGGAACTCCACTGGGGTTGCTAGGTAACAGGCTGGGCTTTGCTGGGGTCATAGGTGAATGTTTGTAACTGGCAGATTGTTTCATGGGAAACATGGGAAACATTTTAAGAGTGAAATAATTTGCCAGTGTAACTAGAACTTTCAATATTAAAGGATCTTTGACCTAAAATAAGCTCCTATTTCTTGGTTATTACTTGTAAGTTAGTTTTGCCTTATCTCAAGTGTACTAAGATATTTGCACTAGAAATTAGACCAGAATTACTTGGTAAGACTTTGTGTTTTTGCAGTGTACTTCTTAAAATTAAACATCTTTTCACGTTGATTGTTTTTGTGATTTTTTGGTGTTAATTTAGAAATATTTGTAAGAAGTCTATAGCTCTACATGTAATCCTAGCAAAAATATATATTAAATTAACATGTTGGTGCAATTAAACCATTTACTTTCAGAAGGAAAAACCCATCAGAATTCAGGAGTTGAAATGTTTCATGTCAACACTACATTTCATATGCATGCCGTGTGTCGATGCTGTGATGAAAAAAATGCTAATGCTAACCTGGTTGAAACTCCATCACTGGAGTTTGTGGCCACATTTTAGCAGGATTCCCGTCAGCTTGCCCACGGATAACTGACTCCGACTTTTTTATCTTCCAGAAGTTTCAGGCAGCTTTGAGCCGACAACATCCATCACATATATCGTAAAGGAGCCATATGAGGAGAGCAAGAACAGCAGCTCTCTGCACTCATCCATCTACTCCGATATCACACTGAGAGGAGACGACGTCTCCCTGAGCTTCAGGACCAGTCAAAGCCCCGCGCCGCTGCTCTATGTCAGCTCTTTTTACAGGCAATACTTGATCCTGCTCATCAATAAACATGGTGAGGACTTTTGTCAGACAAAGATTTTCTGATCTTATAACCTATGGCCCTTTTGTTTATTCAGCTACTTTTCTCTGTTTTATGGATTTGCTCTGTCACACGTTGTTAGCTTGTCTAAAGCCATTTCAACACGCGCACATCAGTTCAGGAAGGTTCAAGAAATGTTTGGAGGAATATCCAAACATCAGCAGCAATCACTCAAACTTTCCTTTGGTTTATTCTTCTCACGCAGCTCCTGTCTTTTCTGGAGAACAGCAGTTGTTACAATCTGGAAGCGCAGCAGCTTCTCTAACTGATGTAAAGGGTGGTGGGCTTTTTACAGAAGATTAGGGCCAGTAAAAAAATGAATCTGTTTTTTTTTTCCTCACAATTTTGACTTTTGTCTGAGAAGACTAAAGTCTGAATTTTTAGGTAAAAAACAATCTAAAGTATCTGAAAAAGGTCAGTATTCTTATATTAAAGTCTGAATTATGACATTCACTTTATAAATTTGAGGAACAAAATCTGAATTTTGAGGAAAAACCTCAGAATTCTGATATTAAAGTCAGAATTTTGAGATTCAGTTAAAGAATTCTGAGAAAAAAACTTAATTCTGAGGAACAAAATGTCCAAATTTTGAGAAAAAATTCAAAATTTTGACATCAAAGGTGAGCTCATTAATCTTTTCAGGTGTTTTGTGTTCATTAACTTCATTGGTGACACTGTGAGTTTCCATATTTAATTTTTTCTCAGATTTCAAATTTTCCAAGACTCTTAATCTCCACGCCATAATCTTCACAATTACAGCAAACATAGACTTTAAATCTTTCACTCTGTGTTTAATGAAACTGAGTTTCACATTTTGACCAAAATATTGAACTTTTTCCAAAATATTAAACTTATTTTAGATGTGCCTGTGCAGTTAGAGTTCCTTTTTCAGGATAGAAAATGTACATTTAATACACTTTTGTCTGTTGTAATTTTTATTTTGTGTGTTTACCTTTAAGTCTCCATCGATTTATTTGTTTTGTTTCTTTTTTTGTAGATGAGTTAGAAGTGAGGTACAAGTTGCACAGCAACAGAGACGAGGAAGTGTTGAGCAGCCGAGTCATGAACTTAGCTGACGGCCGTCTGCACAGTGTGACCGTCAGGCGACAGGCGGACACTGTGGCAGTGCAGGTACACACACACACACACACACACGCACACACACACGCACGCACGCACGCACGCACACACCTCCCCATCTACCTGACAGGTCAGAGCTGTTTTTAGATTCGTTGACAAGCTGAGCTGTTGCCGGTAGCAACAGGCATGACAAAGATTTCCTTTAATATTTCAAAATGTTTTTATATTAATATCCAATTTCAAACTAATCAATGTTACAGGTTGACTTCATGCGTAAGAAGTGTTGTGTTTAAGTCATTTTATTTGATGAGTGTGTGTTTACGTCATGTCCTAATTTAATGCAAACAGAAAATTAGAGGTACAAAATAATATAAAGATGTTAATAATTAATTATTTTAACTATTTCTTTGATTGATTGCAGAATGTACTAGAGCTGCACCGGTCCAATATTAATATCTGTATTGGCTCCCATATTATAATTCTAGATTGGGTATCAGTGGCAATGTGGGGCAATTAATCAGTTAATCAATTAATCACATGATAAATTAAAATGAGCTCAATGATTTGCATTCTAATGATCTGATATTTTTTGAAGTGCAGTTTTGTTTACAAAGACATCAGAATCCGTTTTATTTATGGTTTCGATTGTTTTTACTTCAGTTTTATTTATTGTTTTTGTTTATAATTAAAATATCTTCCAGTGTTTTGAGTTCTGTACAAAATTAAAGTTTGTCTTTGAAACCTGCGTTATTATGCCATTATCAATATGTTGCATGAAAATGGTCTCAAAACAACATTATCATTTATCACAATAATTACAGGAACAATTTATAGTGAAATTTATCGTGATGGGCCTATTTGCACTGAATTGTGTTTGGAAATATTAAAATCTTAATTAAATACATTAAAGTGTCTTGTTGCACCGTGACAAACTAAAAAGACAAAAAAAAGAGAAACTCATATGAAAAATTTTGCAACTTGCTTTAATTTCTTTCCTCATTTAATCCTTCTTAATGCACAGTAAATGATCTTTACTGAACAGAATGTTATTGCTTTTAGATTTTGTTTCTAATCAATAATCTTTCAGATTGACCAGAATAACAGAGAGGAATTCAACGTGACGTCTGACGTGGAGTTTAACGTTAAATCCATCATTCTGGGGAGAGTTCCAGGTAAATAAAGTTCTTTTTATCCAATTCAGTACCAAGCAGTAAAACATTATCAGTCATTTTCTGTTTGTGACCAAGGCGGCCGAAACACCATAAATCTGCTCAGAGATTTACTGATCTCTTTGAGCACAGATCAGTAAATCTCTGCTCAAAGTGAACTGTTCAGTTTCACTTTCAGCTTCATTTCTGCCACAGTGACTCACCTGATTGGTCCCCATTCACAGTGACTGATCGATAAACAGGATCATCTGAAACTGTCCAAAAAACTAACCTGAAGGCCAACGGGGAAACGGTACCGCTCAGAACTCTGACTTCACTCTTCTAAGACCAAAAGTCAGGATTCACAGAAAAAAAGTCAAAATTCTGATTAAAAAAAATCAGAATTTTGAGATTAAATTCAGAATTCTGAGAAAAATATCACAATTTTGAGAAAAAAGTCTGATGTCAAAGAAAAAAAGTGAAATTCCTAAGAGAAAAAAAATCTGAATTTTGAGATTAAATTCAGAATTTTGAGAAAAATATCAGAATTTTGAGAAAAAGATAGAACTTTGAGGAAAAACGGCAGATTCTTGACATAAAAATTATAATCCTGGAAATTGTCCTGGAGATTTTCTAATTCTCGGTCTCAAGTCTGAGGGAAACAAATCAGAAATGTGAGATGAAACTCAGAATCCTGAGGAAAATGCCAGAAGGGAAAAAAAAGTATGAATTCTGAAGAAAAGTTAGAATTTGAAGATTAAATTTGAATTCTTTTTTTTTTTCAGTAATCTTAATCGTCGCTGTATTTACGTGATTGTTTTCCATATTTCTGTTATCATGCAGCAGATAACATAATATTTTACTAGATTCTTTCAAATGAAGATACAAGCACCAAATTTGGCTCAGATGGTCCTTATGTTCTTCTTTTGAAAAACCACTTAAAATTCAACATGGCTGCCCATTTTCAAGATGGCCGCCACATCAGGGATATAATTATTACATCTTGCTATAAATGCAGACTTCCACAGCATCGTTGATTCTGGCATCAAACTGTGCATTTTTGACCATGTAGAAATCAAATCTGTGACTCTAAACTCTCTTAATTTTACCTTATTTTGATTTATTTCTGCTTTCTGCTCCACTATAGGACTAAAGAATATATCCACCATTTATTATAGAGCAAATTGGAGCAACAACTAAACAAGAAATATTGAAAGCAAACCAGAAATAAATATGATTTTATAACATAAAACCTGATGAATCGTCTCTGCAGGAGCTGCTAAAAGCAATAAAACCTACAGATTGGATGTGGGGGATTACTTCCTGTCACTCATCTGCAATTTAAAACCCTGAACCTGATTAAGCATGCAGCTGATAAAATGCTCGCTCCAGCCAGGTTATGCTGCCGTGTCATATTTATGTATGGAATATTTTTCCCCCTCTGGTTACAAGTTAACTTCCTGGCAGCGATGTGCTGCGTAATCAGGTTCCTCAGCAGGAATAAATGTTTTATTCTGATATTTATATCAGCAGAAGCTGCTGGAGTCGATGTTCAGTAGCTGTTAGTCAGATTTTCTAATTCAAAATTTAACATTCTGTCACCAGATACATAATATTTATATCCTTTTATCTGATTGTTTTTAACAAAATTAAACTTGGTGACATTTTTCTCTCCTGCACTAAAAGCCACAAACGTCTTTTTTCCCCTCTAGATCCACAGCAGCAGAAAAGATGAGAATATGTTTTCTTCATCTGATTAATGTGCTGAGCTTAGTTCATCGTGATTTCATTATTCCTTTTGTGTTTCCTAAAGTATTAATATTACAGATAAGACAAGCTGTCACCTTTTGGTATTTATGGCCGAGCTGCTCTGCAATAAAGCTTAACCTGGTTTCTGCTGTTTAGCCTCGTGAATAATGACTCCACCGTTTAACAATCGAAGCAGTTTCACAACTTTTGACAGGAAATCAGTCAAAAGATTAATGGATCGGCCTCCGCGACTAGATTTTACTTTTTTATTGTCTTAATATACCAGTCTACATTTTTAATTGAAAATAAGTAATTTTTCATCAGCTAATTGCTGAAATTATTAATTTCCCGCCTGACTTTGTGCATAGTTGCAGATTCTGCTAATACATAATTATTTTGTCCACAAAAAACTGATTAATAATTTGTTTTTATAGTCATTTAAGTGAAACCAGTCAGTTTAAAATGTTCTTACACTGCAAAAACACAAAATCTTAACAATTTTGGTATCATTTCTAGTGCAGATATGTTAGAACATTTGAAATGAGACAAAACTAACTGAACAGTAACTTTTTACCAAGATGAAGGAGCTTGTTTTAAATGAATAATTTAATTAATATTAATTTAACTAAAGTTCTAGTTCCACTAAAATGTAGATAGATAGATAGATAGATAGATAGATAGATTAAAATAAGAATAAATTTCCACCAACAATCAGACATTTTTTAGAAAAAAACATGGACATTTCTGAGCTCGAAAAGTCAAAATTCTGAAGTTGTCAGATTATTTTCAGAAACTTGAGGGGAAAAAACATGGAAATTTAGAGTTTGGGATGCTGTGGTGGCGCAGAGGCAAAGGGCACAGCCCATGTGTTGAGGCCTTGGTCCTCATGCCGGTGGTCGCAGGTTCAATTCCCGGCCTGGTGGCATTTGCCATGTGTCTTTCCTGTCAAACTGCTTTCAAATGGAGGCCAATAGAGCCAACAAAACCTTAAAAAAAGAAATTTAGAGGTTGAAAATTTGCCAGAAAAAAATCTAGAATTTTTGAGATTATTTTTACAAATTTTCTAGAAAAAACTTGGGAATTTTTGAGATTGAAAAGTTTAAAATTTTCTAGAAAAATCTGAAATTTCAGAATTTTTCCTAGAAAATTTCTGAGCTTTATTTCAAAGTTTCTGTTTTTTTTTTCTAGCAATGTTTTTGACCTTTTAAACTCGGACATCTTGTTTTTCCTGGTGATTTTTTGGTGGAAATTTACTGCAGTGCCCATAAACCAGTTTTAAACTAACAAAGTCTAAGAATCTAATATTTTTGTCCACATTTACTGTTAATAAATCTTGCAGTAAAAAGTTGATTTTCCCATCAATGCAGTGCTGGACTTTTTATTTTATTGTTGTATATTTTATTGTTATTTTGTTGGCAACATTTGGCACTAAAAAAAAACATTTTCTTTTTTGTTTGTTTTGTTTTATACCATCTGGTAATAAAAGCAAATTGTTGAGGCCATTTATTAGCGATTAGCTCATGAGAACAAACTGATGTTTCTGTATTTTAACGCTGTAATTTGTTTTTGTTCAGAGTCTGAAGGCCTGAGCGCGGATCTCGCCGGCTTGGCGTCCGCCGGCTTCTCCGGTTGTCTGTCAGCCGTTCGCTTCGGCGCCATCTGTCCTCTGAAAGCTGCTCTGCTGCGACCCGATGGCCGCGTTTCTGTCGCCGGCGCCGTCGTGGCGTCGAGCTGCGCCGCGCCGGCTCAGGCCGATTCCTACGCAGCAGAAACGACACATTCGCTGTCAGGTAAAATCAGAACAACCGCAGCTTTTCCTGGTCTGCTGTGATTTTAAAATGACACTTCTGCAGATCCATTAGGATTTTATTTTTTATGGCTCATTAAGCATTCATCTCAGTAAGTAGGCAGACAGTCGGCACAGCGACAGATGAGTCATCAAGCAGCTCTGGGGAAATCCCTTCAACCTTTTGGAAATACCTTTATGCAGGAACTACTTTCACTCCTTCTGTTTTAAAGCTGATTTACATCCAGGCTGATTTCACACCCACCATGATTAATCCAAATTAATCAAACTCTAGTTCATCTTTCTACAAAATTTGGTTCATTGTTGAGGTGTGAAACTGCAATTAATCCCAGAAGAGTAAATACAAATTAACACTGTCATCAGCTTAAAAAGATGCCGAAATCCAAAAAATAAACAATGTGAATGTAATTTTCAGGCTTCTTCACTGCAAAAACACCAAAACAAATTATTCTGGTCTCGTTTCCTGTGCAAATATCTTGGTACATTTGAAATAAGACAAAACAGAGCTTATTTTAACTCAGAGCTTATTTTAAATCAATAATTCCTTAATATATAATTTTTTTAAGTGTTAGTTCCACTGGCAGCTTGTTTCACTTGTTTCACATTTATCCCACTTTATAAATAATAATTTGATGGAGAATTGTGACCATTCTAGATAGAAAAGAGGTGTAAACTTCCGTCAAGAAATCTTTTTCTAGAAAAGTCAGAAATTTTGTAGAAAAAACTTGGATTTCTTTTACATTTCAAAAGAAAATTTCCAAAAGTCAAAATTTTTCACCTTTTAAAACTCAGAAAGATCCAAGTTTTTTTCTAAACAATTTCTGCAATTTAAAAACATTTTTAAATAGGAGTTTGGAGTTTTTTTATCTATAGTGGCCCTAATAATCCATCATAGAAATAATCCGCCAGTGAAACTAGAACTTTTTTTATCAATATTAAGAATTATTGAGTTAAAAAAAAAAAGCTCCTATCTCTTTTAGAAGTTATTTGGTCAGATTTTGTGTTTTTAGCAGTTTCGCTCAGTGTCTTCTTCAGTGGTTTTCATGTCATTTTCTTCAGTGGTTCTTGGTGCAGTGCCCCCACAGGCGAGGAGGTGAACAGGTTTTTATTAGTTTGGTTTTGTTTAACACTTTGCAGTGTGAAATCGAACCGCAGCAGCTGAAAATGTAACAAATGTTACAATTTTGGTCTCAAATTGAACCGAATCCACCAGACTACTAAGTGTGAAAACACACTAAATCTTTATTTCTTGGTATTTTGATCACTGATACTTCCCTTTTTTTGTTTTGTTGGTTTCTTAATACTAAATGTTTTTATTTTTTCTATAGACCAGCCTCACTCTGTGGATCCTGGCCAGCCTTTAGTCAACACCATTCGCAATGATTCAGCTCTAGTTGGAGGTAAAACCAGTCATATTTCCAATGACAACAGTTCATCCTAAATATTAGTATTTTTTTTAGCAGATATGAAACATTTTCTGATGCTCCCACCTGAAAGCTCTTTGTCATCCATGAGCTTCCCTAAAAATGTCAATTAGAAACCTGATGGTTGGTCAGAAAAGCTGAAACCTGTCAGGGGAAATCAAACTTCTCCACTGCAATTATGTCCACCATTAGTGTGATGCTGAGACATTTTCAAGATGGAGAGAGTACGGTAACCTTCAGCTTGGTGCACAAACCCAATTACTCCCACAAATCCTTCTTAATAAATTAGAATACCACCAATAATTCAATTTATTTCAGCAATTAAGTTCCAATAGTGAAACTCATGATTCATGAGATAATATGGATTACTGTTGGTCACAACTAATCAAAATTTGTGATTTAAATATTTTAAAAGACCAATTTAAAACAAGTTTTCAAGACAAAAACCTCAAGGCCGACATTAGTGGTGTCCAAATTTGTTGACCTGAAAATTTTTCTATCAAATTTTTTACTTTTCAAACCCAAAAATTTTGTTGTTGTTTTTTTAGAAAATTTCTGAGATTAACCACAAAATTTCTGAATTTTTACATCTTTTTTAAAAAAATCTAACTTACACAGTCGTAATTACAGAACTACATTTTTTTTATTCAGTATTTTTTTAATACAATATTTACATTTTCTGGCAATCAAAATTTATTTTCTCTTCTGATTTAAATATTGAAATATTTATTTTGTTTATGTATTTAGCAGGATGTTACTGTCCTCATGCCTCTGTGTGTTTTGCGGTTCTCAGGTGTGATTGCAGTGGTCATATTTATCGTGGTGTGCGCGGCGGCCATCTTGGCTCGGTTCATCTGCCTCAGGAAGGAGACGTATCGGAACCAGGAAGTGAAAGCAGCACAGCCCGGTGAAGGCCGCGCGTTCCCGTTCAGCGGCCAGCCAGACTCTCTGAGCGTTCAAAGTGAAAACCAGAAGGAGTTTTTCATTTAGCACAAAATAACCTCAAAGGACTGAGCTGGATAAATTACCAAACAGTGCTTTACCCCTTCTTCCCCTTTTGTTTTATTTATTTTTGTAAATACGGACTGGCAGAGATATTGGACTCACTTTAAAGAGTTGAATATTTGAACTTGTACAGTTCGTAGTGATTTGTGTGCTTATTTAGATCCATTTCGAAAGTTTTCTGTCCAACAGAGAATGATAAACATTGCACTGCAAAAACACAAAATCTTACCAAATATTTTTGGTCTAGTTTCTATTTCCGTCTTACACTTGAAATAAGTAACTTTGTAGAAAGATGTAGAGGCTTGTTTTAAGTAAATAATTCCTTAATATTGAAGAAAAAAGTTATAGTTTCACTGGCGGATTGTTTCACTTATTTCACAACAGACAGGCACTGTTACCTAGCAACCCCAGCCAAGTCCAGGCCGTTACCTAGCAACCCAGTTCTAGTTCCACTGGAATATTATTTCTCTTATAACATGGAAAATTTCTTTTTACAAGTGAAATAATCCACCGAAAATAATCAGTAAATAAACTACCAAAAATCACACATATATATTTTAATAATTAAGGAAAAGGAAACAAAAACATGAAATTTTGCTACTTAAAAGTTCTGATTATTTCACTTGTAACAAGATATTTTTTCTAATTTATCTGCCAATGGAACTAGTATGTTTTCATCAATATTAAGGAATTATTGACTTAAAACAAGCCTCTATATCTTCCTGAAAAGTTACTTTTACGTTTGTCTTATTTAAGATAAGATATTTTCACTAGAAACTAGACCACAATTACTTGGTAAGATTTTGTGTTTTTGCAGTGTGCAGTGAAAACTTTTGAGCTGGGGGAGATTTATAAAAAGTTTTCTCAGAAGAGTCTGGTAAATTTGAGACGCCAGAGCCAAAAAAGATGTGGAGATGAAAGAATGGATTATGCCAAGTTTACATGGAGCAACCCAGCCAAAGCACATTCTCAGAATCAAATAAAATCCATCTGTTACAGGTAAGAATTGTTCCAAAATGTGCTGTATATATGAATACCAAATTAAAGTCAGTCTAAAACTTTACCGTTGAGTTGCTTGGAAAGCTTATCTTTGCTTTTCTCTCTGCTTTGTGATGAAAAACTTGAGGAATTTCTTTTGCAGCTTTGGGTTTTAATGCGCCACCTGCAGCGATCAGCCAACATCACAACGCTTTCAGAAGCAGCTTGAAGCAGCACGGACCATAAAACATAACTCTCTTTCACCTTTTTCGCTTTGTAGACACTTCATGGTTTTTGCTGACGTCCTTATCCATCTCTGCCTAATGGAGGATTTGAGACACTCCAGTTAACTTTCAGAGTCCATATTGTGCAAAGCTCTCAATTGAAGTAAGGGATTTTCATGACATGAGCTTATAAAGCACTTTTATTTTTATCCTCCGTGCTCTTTTAAAAGAAATGACCTACCATTTCAACTCTAAAAATCTGATGTCTTGTTTTGCAGTTTTTCTTCTATTAGAAAAACATAAAAGAAAAGAAAAAGGCTTCTGTCTCTGAAGACACCTGGAAAAAATTCTTCTTTCCTTTCAGCAGCAACACAAATGTGAGGTTAATTCAAGATTATTCTGCAAGTGATCAACTTTTGGGTTAATAGGAAAATTACAACTTATGTAGGCCAACATGTTGAACTAGTCGTGGTTTGAGATGCAGATAAAATGTCTGGAAATGTTGAAATTTTGACAGTGCAGTCAGTACTTAAACACAAATAATGTCCACAATTTATTTTAGAAAAAATGTTAGGAGCTCAGCTTGGGTTGCTAGGTGATGGGCAGAGTTCTGTTGGGGTTGCTAGGTGACGGGCAGAGTTTTGTTGGGGTTGCTAGGTGATGGGCAGAGTTTTGTTGGGGTTGCTAGGTGACGGGCAGAATTCTGTTGGGGTTGCTAGGCAGCAGATAATTCCGGAGGTTTTTGTAGCTGCTCATTTTCCAGACGCCAAAAAAAAATTTACCTGTAGCCAAAAGACGGCTGGGTGTTTTTGTTTTTCTTAAGCACTTGAACTGTTTGTAGAGGAAAATGGAAGTACAAAGGTGTCCAAAATGTAAATTTTGCATAATCGGTCCCCTTTAACTGACAGCTTTTCTCTGTAAGAAGTACTTCACATCCCTTGAGTCCTGTAAGAAGTTGTGTAAAAGTTAATCAGTATGAAATAGGTCATGACATCTGCCAGGAGCTACACTTCCTCTTCCTGCCATCTGAACTCTTGAGTTCAGGTTGGACTCTAAGGGCTCCTGAAAGATCGTCCTGTTGAAACGCAGCTCAGATTTAGCGCCCTCTCTTCCTGCATTTTCTCTCTCTGTTTCTTGCGTCTCTTGCCATTAGCATGCAGCAGCTCTCCCTCCAGACCTCATCAGATGCAGCAGAGAGCTGTGATCAGAGGGTCTCCTGGTATTTTCTGTTCTCAGAGGGAGTAATTCAGCTCCTCACCGTCGGCTCTGTGGGGGGAAACAGAGCAAAACAACCTGAGGGGAATTTTTTACAGGAACAAGACTAGTGATTTTTTTTTAACAATTTGTTATTCTAGCTATAAATATTTCCTAATTTATTTGGAAGTGTTTCTTTAAGTTTACACTGTATTCTATGAATCAGTTATTGTTATATTTCTAAAATGTTTGTTGTTGTATATAAAGCTACAACCGTCACACATTTGATCAAAATTTGTTGTTTCCAGATTCATTTTCAAAAAGGTAAAATGTCTGAAAAACTAGTTGTTATTGAAATATTTGTCCTTTTTTATTAGTTTGTAACCCTGAGTTTGACTTATTTTTTTAAAGAAATGAATAATTTTGTGGGAAATTCTGACATAAACTTGTTCAGCTAAAATTTTAATGTCTCATTAAAAGTGTTTTTGTTTTCACACATGCAGAATAAATGAAATAATTAAATTATACTCATCGGAGGGGAAACTTTGAGATAAACAGAGAAAATATTGAACATATTTCAGTTGAAAATATTGAAAATCTGTTTTTCCAATTTATTTTGTTCTGTTTTGGTTCAATTTCACTCAAAACAATCATATTTCCTGATCAAAGTTTAACCGGCCGTTATATTTTAACTATTCCTCATCAATCTGACAGCATGTTGATGTGGTTCAACTCATACCTCAGCATCAGTTGTTCACGTCCTGCATAATGTAATATTTGAGTAAATGCATAGCGCAGCTCCCTGGAATGATAATTAAATTAATGCCTACTTAAGGTTGGTGTCAAGTGTGCTGAATAAATGTGCTAAATGTTCCCCATCCTGTGTGAATGGAGCTGATTAATGCCTATTCATGCAAATGAAAAAGCAGCCATAAGTGATAAAAGAAGAGGCGTTGCTGGTGAAGGTGGGCAGGATAATTATGAGGAACCGAATCCTGATTAGTGATCTGATGAGACTGCAGCACTGTGGGCAGCAGTGATGCCGCTGCCTGATTACAAACGACATCCAAGACCTCTGTTGTCAGATTCTATCCATCATAATTGTTATGGAAAATTAGTCTGGCGGAGAACTTTGGCTCTTTCTGCTCTGTGTTCACATAACAGTCAGTTTGTTTACAACCCAGCTTAACTGGAGAAGCAGAGGCTTTTTCTTGTGTTTATTGTTTTTGTTCTACAAGTTTTTTTGTTTTTATTACAACCAATTATTTTCATTCCTTCATATTTCTGTATTAATTGGATTGGGTTATCACACTGAATTATTGCAACACAAAAAAATGTAGAAAAGTGTAAGTTGTATTAGTTTTACAATCTGTAATTTATCACTGGCTTTTACCAAGTAAATTTTTAGTGTAGTTAAAGGGAACCTATTATGAAAAACTCACATTTTGAATATTTTTATACTTCAATTTTGTTTATAATGCTTTAAAAACACCCAGCTATGTTTTGGCTATAAGTTAATGTTTTTCTGGTGTCGGGAAAATGAGCCGTTTCAATATTTTCTGGAGTGTAATGCTGCAAATCAGCCGTTAGCTAGCAACCCTAGTGAAGCCCAGCCCGTTACCTAGCAACCCCAGTGAAGCCCAGCCCGTTACCTAGCAACCCCAGTGAAGCCCACTTCGTTACCTAGCAACCGCAATGAAGCCCATCCCGTTACCTAGCAACCCAAGCTGAGTTCCTGCACATTTGGTGATCTGGTTTATTGCTGCATGTGCTGTACAAGTGTTTTGTTGTTGACTTTCCATCCAGAAACCACTTGCTGCCTTCTTCTTGGTTGTGCAGGAGACTCTACTTCTGCTTTTTAAAGATGTACAGTTGTATAATTGCACATTGGTTTGTAACCATTGTCATGCACAAGAGTAAATGTTGAGTTTGAGTTCGTGGCCAGAAGCACCTTATTCAGATTTAAAGTGACGAGACGCCCCAAAACAGTCTAAAATCTGTCTAAGAATGATTGCGTTTAAAAAAATTTAACAAACATGTTTTGTTTAGCTCAGAGATTTATCCTAACCTGTTCAAGGAAAAATAATAGGTGAATAAAACTTTATTTTAAATCCATTGTAATAACTCAAAATCAGTGTGTTTATATTAACATCTTAAAACTGTTCTTATCTAAAAGATGCCTTTTTTACTGACTGGTCTAAAATGTTGTAGCTTTGCCTCAAACCTGCTAAGATTGATTGTCTTCCAATAATTAAAGTGCGAAACTCCTCCTGCCTTGCAGCGTACATTCTCTCCTAACCTATTTATTCAAGGCATGTGAAATTCCATCATTTTCTTGTTAACAGAAAAGCTAATCAGCTCTCTGATTACATCTTCAGCTGCATACTAAGCTGCATATCAGCGATCAGGTGCATGCATAGCTTCAAAACAGCTCGTGTTTTATTAACATCCTGCATGAAAACAGATAGAAATCATCTTTCACCTCCAGCTTCAAGAGTTTCGATGAAAACTTGATGCAGCTTACAGAGAAACTGCATAAAACCAATAAAAGAAATGGTTTATTAGGTGTACTTTACTTTGTATTTAGTATCAGAGTTAATCACTTCTCCACAGCAAACTATCATACCAATAATAAACAATAACCAACAAAATACAATAAGATGCTGCTTATTTGCCAGTTTCACAACTAATTATGGCATCATATAGCTCCTCCTGTCTTTAAAAAACATGTAAATCACCGTAAATGTGTACAAAAACAGAAAATATTCCACGCTGTCTTCATTCCTCACAAAAAATAAAGCCAAAGAGAATAAAATGTTTAAAGACTAAATGCAATCTTCCTGATTCCATTGTATTTCTGAAGCCATGAAAGCCGAGACGGCTCATCAAGGAAAGCAAACAAAGGTTCATGCTGCTCAGAAATGCAGGAAACTTAAAATTAATCTCAAGTTTTCCTTTTTTTAAACAGCTATTTAAGTAAAATTAATCAAATTCATAAATAATCTGATAATTTTTGCTAAATCTAAACAAACATTTTGTACTCAGTTGATGCAGAAAAAAATGGAAAAACTGATAAACATTGTACAAGTCTTAATCACTAAACTGTCAACAGTTTATAATGCTGTTAGTATTCTGAACTAGAAAATAAGTAAATGTAATTCTTAACCAAACTAAATGGCATCTATCTAAATATATTGTAAAAGAATAAACAAAGTTATAGATATAAAAAATGCATTTAAAAGATGAACAGTAAAAGTTTTGTTAAACTTGGAATAAGACAAAACCAATTTACAAGTAACTTTTCATCAAGATGTAGGAATTTGTTTTAAATCAATAACTCCTTAATATTGATTTTAAAAAGTACATGTTCCACTAGCAGATTATTTCACTTTGCGCTGTTACCTAGCAACCCCAGCCAAGCCCAGCCCATCACCTAGCAACCCCAGCCAAGTCCAGCCTGTCACCTAGCAACCCCAGTCAAGCCCAGCCCGTCACCTAGCAACCCCAGTCAAGCCCAGCCCGTTACCTAGCAACCCAGTTCTCGATCCACTGGCAGATTATTTCACTTCCAGCACAGGAAAAAGTTAAATAATCTGCCAGTTTAACAATATTTTCATCAAGGAATTATTTACTTAAAACTTTTCAGTTAATCTTTTTTATTTCAATTGTACTGAGATATTTGCACTAGAAGCTAGATCTAAAAAGAGTTTGTGTTTTTGCAGTGAGGATATTTTGCCTTTTTCCCTCTGTCTCTTTGTGAGAATCTCATATTTGTTGTCGGTTTTCTGAGTTTAAGTGTAAATTTTCATTCCAGCATTTTCATTATGAACTCTGCCTCTTTAGTGTCACAGATAAATGGCAACACCAACATACCGTCTACAAAAAAATGATCCATTTGGTCTGTTCTGCCAAGTCCCTCATCCAGCAGGAGTCCAGACATTGATCACAGCTCCACTGATTATATCTTCAGATGCATTATGCAGAAGCAGCTCCATAAATAAAAGTGATTTGGTGGACACAAATCTGCAGAGCGCTCATGTTTTATTGATATTGTGCATGCAGATGGCGTTCAGCCCTCAGACCGCTCATCACCTCAGCTCATCTCTCAGAGTGTCACCAGGACCTCAGACTCACCTCTTCAATCTCAACTTGTTTTGACAAATAATAGGAGCTGGATTGGCTGTAGCAACATGCACTGCATGTGTGAGAGGCGCCAGGCTGTCATTCTGCAGCTTGTGATAAAACACAAAGTTCAAACAGAAACGCCACTTTAGGAGGAAATTTAAATCTTTGTCTCTTACATAATGTAAAAGTAGCATCAAATACATCGCAATAAATAATAAATCAATTAATCGCATGATTAATTAAAACTGACATTAATTTCCACTTGCATAATTTATTGTTTTTCGTTGTTTCTACCAAAAATTGGATGATTAAAGTTTTCAGTCTGATTCTTTAGTTTCAACTAAACCTTTTATTGAAGGACAATTTTGTTTGTAGTGACTTTATAATTGATTTATTTGTTGTTTTATTTATTTTGTGTATTTAAAATGTCTTCCAGTTTCAGTGTGAAATGTTAATTTGAATTTAAAGTTTATTGATATTCTAGAAGGATTTTGAAACGGCTCTTTTTCCAAACACCAAAAAACATACAATTTTGGACTGTTTTTAGAAGCAGTGGAAACCAAAATGGAAGGGTAAAAATGTACAAAAGTGAGTTTTGTATAATGTTCCCTTTAAACAAGTAGATGGAAATGGTTTGTTGATTTGGTTCGGCTTCCGGGTTCAACAACTTGAGTCGATTGTCGTCCGTCTGTTTGACAAACAAACATCAGGTTTGGTTTTTTGTTTTGGTCTGCATCCTTCAGGCAGCATTAGGAAAAGCAGATTCTGTTATTTTTACAAAAACATGTTTAACATTTTTCAGTGAGGGAGTTTTCCAGGGCGAAATGATGAGAACCAGCTGGAAACAAACACCAAGGACTCAGAGAGCACTAAAATATTCTGACCAGGAAACAAACAGTACAAGGTTACATTCAGCGTTTTAACTGTACCAGACAATCATACATATT